CCTGCTCAGCCCCGGTTGAAGCAGACGCCATGCAAGCCTGATTGCACGGGGACTTCGGGAGCTAGGTTTGAACATGCTACTACAGGTCTTCATGAGGGTGCACATAGTGACTCCCTTCTAGCTTTAGTTGTATGGTGATGATAGAGAGCTGGGTATCCTCCGTTCCCTCGTATGTCCCTGGAGCCCGTTCCGGCCATGACACCCCCGACATCCTGTACTAAGGAACTGCTATGTCAGCCTCAATCCTATGCTATGCACTAGGAGGATAGCCGACCCTAGGTCGTGATTTATAGACTGAGTTTCTTTATCGTACTATGATGTTGATGGTAGAGAGATGGGGATCCTCTGTTCCCTCGTATATCCCTGGAGCCCGTTCCGGTCCCGCGGTAAGCTGCAGTATCTCCTGACATCCCCGACATCCCTACTAAGGACTGCTATGCCAGCCTCAACTCTAAGGTACGTACTAGGAGGATAGCCCACCCTCAATCGTGAATCATGGACTGTATGTATTGACCCTGGATAATCTCTAGGCCCTGTGTTGTATGGTAATCTGAGAGCAGACAATCCTCTGTTCCCTCGTATGTCCCTGGAGCCCGTTCCGGCCCTGCAGTAAAGTGTTAGACCACTATGTCCTGACACTACTGACATCCCGTACTAAGGAACTGCTATGCCAGCCTCAATCCGTTGACCACGTACTAAGAGGATGACCAGCCCTAAGTTACAGTCTGGTATCGAACACAGGACCTTATGTAAATTGTGCAAGTGACCTAACCTATTGACATACACGGTGAAATAGTCTGTAGCTGTGCTCTGCTGGGCTCGAGTAAACCGGTCTACGCAAACCACCCAGCAGTCTCATGACAACCCCGTAGACCAAGAACATCAGGATACCTACCATAGCCCAGTCCCCACATACAGCAACCATGGACTACCCCTTGGGTGGTGCGCAGGCAGTGTCTGTAATAACTTACCTGCGTCATCCCAAGGGGGTGGGTGTCCAGCCGTGCGTCATTCTAACGCCCTGCCGGTGCCCATGCGCAAGGCTGCGGAGTTTTGAACCCGCAACCTCATACCACAATGCACATTTCCAACCAGTGCTCTAACCACTGAGCTCTCTCTCTCTAAGGTCAATTCGTCACTTCGGGAGTGTTGGTTCAGTCAACACAAAAGTCCTAACGATTATCGGAACCCTACACAGGATGGTAGCGAACACATACGATGTCCGAGATTTACCCGCAGTTATGGAACTATATTGCACAAAGCTCAAACTGATGGAATACCCGTAGGAGGTACCTCGAGCGGCAATACTGGCCTACATCAGAAACTGTAAAGACAATGATATACGCAAGATATTCCTGGAATTCCTACAGACAGAAGAAGCACGGCAGCACACAACACGGAGAAAGATCTAAACGGAGGCATGAAGAGATAATTCCGAAACCAAGAACAAAAACAAAAACAAAAACAAAACAAAAACAGCAACAAAAGAAGTACGAGATGTCAGCGGGGGAGAAATGCGGATATAACAAAAGATACCGTACGAATGTAATGCAAAAGACAATTGGAAATGACGCTCGATTCATTGTTTCATAAAACATAATATTCCAAAGGAAATAAAGAGTCCGGTACCACGAGAAATCGGGGAAGCAACCAAGAGAATGAGTAAAATATAACTCACCTACAAAAGAAGTAAAAAGAAATTTCCAAGAGGTCCGAAAAATCCATGCAGGCAGACAACAAACAAAATCAGTAAAATGAAGCTAAACGTACACTCAAACCAAATTCATTCACATAAAATTTCACAGAATATAATTGCAATGTACCACAACGAGGAGTGAAATCCCAAAGAAAAGATGAACCTGGACAGCAAAGAAACTGAGTGTAGTGGAATACGAACGCATTTTGCGAACAGATACAAGGAGAAGTTATATTACAGCAGTGAGGCACGCGACGACATCAACTATGGAAGCCAAGACATGCGACGGGGGTACGATGATGAAGAGAGTTCTGCTAGGGATAGAGGTCGAAGGACGGGAAGGACTCGGATCAGTAGGGTATAAATATTTGAGACAGTGGCTGTGATGATTACCTGAGCAGTGAGGCAGAAGGGTAGTCGCGACAACTAGATTGTCGCATGCCATGGGCAAGACGTGTATACTGTGAAAGTAAAGCCTCGCACATTTTGTCTAAATATTGCAAGTGTGTATCTCTATGCACGGTGCTTTGAACTCGCGGGAAACACCCGTGAAGATCGGCACTGGTTCACAGAGGGCTCACCGTTTTCTAGTTCTTATAGTATCTTTCACTATCGTCTCTCATCTCCCCGTGTTTCTGATCTTATTGTATCTTTTACTATCATCTATCATCTCTCATCTCTCATCTCGCCGTTATCCAGTTCTTATTGTATCTTGTATTATCATCGCTACTACCCAGTGCGTGGTTTCTGCGATTGGTGACTACTACGTATACTTTGGAGATTGCGATCTGGAGCGTTGTGGAGATTCGATTTTTCGTTTTACTATTTCGTCGCTGTTTTACTCGTGTATCATCAGCTTTGTTGGTGACCTGTGACCGTATTTTGGTGCTCTGTATTCGAGTAAGCTGTGAAGACCAAGACCCAAACATCTGATCACTTCAGGGAAGATGGCGCGTTCGCGCTCATCGTCGGCAAGGAGGAGGCGCAGGCACTCTGCATCATCGTCATCAACATCGCATGGGAAGAAGCGTGCAAAACGAGGGAGATCAAGGTCACCTCGGGAGAGAAGGCACAGGACTAGATCTCCATCGCCAAGACGAAGAAAGACGGAGTCAGAATCACCAAGGACATTCGTACGAACACCATGGGAGCAGAGGCGAAATGATTTTCCCCCTCCAGGAAACAAAGCTTGGTTTACAGCGGACCTGAGTGAGGAAATCTTCGCGTTGAGACGTGAAGTGGAGAAATTGAAGAAGACCATCAAGCAACTGACCTCAAAGGGAGCAAACAACAAGAGACTGTCGCCGGGTGGAGGTACTGGAGCCATCGAGCACACCGCAGAGAAGGAGGCTGGACCAAGCGAGCCGGTGAAAACTGCATCGCCAGTCACGGCAGCCGAACTCAAGACGTGGATAGATAAAGCCTTGGAATCGGCTCTTCCAAAGAAGACAGGAACAAAGGCGGGCAAGGTAGCGATCACAGAAGGCAGGATCGACACTGGGAAGCAAGCCGCCACAGAAGAAGGGAATGTGGAGAAGATGGTGTCTCAGGTTTGCAGAGACGTGAACGAGATCAAGCTCATGAAGTATGATCTCGCGGTAGTGAAGGGCGCCCTGAAGAAGATTAACGAGCCTACCAGGATACTGACCCCGCACGTGTCATCATCAGTGAACCCGAGACTGTACAAAGGATCGATGATGATTGGCGGGCCGTCCTGAGTGCATGTCAGTCGAAGCGAGCTGAGTCAGCTGTTTCCCCCACATCCGAAGAGAGGCCGCACGAAGATCAAACGACAGACAAGAGCGAGTAAAACCAAGCAAAGCATCGAGTTCGGTTTCGAACCACTCACTGGCTATCAGCTACTGCGACTGCACTATACAGATCTGAAGGCGCTATGCAAGATCCACGATATCAAGTACTTCGACAAACCACAAGCCATTTCGGACCTGAGGCGAATTCTTGGACTCATCACGTACGAAGGGAGAGATTTCGTACATGACTTAGAATTCGAGACGCAGATCGAGCCTGAAGACATCAAGGAAGAAGCCTCAAGCTACGAGGATGACGATGACTCGGATTCGAGTGATTCAACCGATGATGAGTCAACATCCACGTCATCAAGCGACCAAACGATATCGGGAAGGTAGAGGGGCCAGACCCATCGGGGTGTCTCACCAAGGGACAAAAGTGGGAACAGATACACCGTATAGCATCATCTGTTGAGTTATTGGTGAACASAGGGAGAATAAAGGACTGTTCAGAGTACAACAATCTATATAGGCTACTTTTCATTTCCTTAGCCATAGAAGGTAGTATTCCTTGGGCAGGATCTTTAGTCGACCTGTGGATCGCACAATATCAGAAGATAGACACACTATTAGAATCGAATTACAGCGTATATGTTCTCATCTCACCATGGTGTAGACATTATTACATATGGAAGACCGGACGAAAACCAGACAAATGATGGAGCGAGCATGTGAATTTAGCCCGAACTCGAATAGGGGGGTACAACGGAAACTGTACAGCTGGTTACGTAAGTTTGGATGGGCGAAATACGTACTCATACCGATTTGGACGGGAGTGAAAACCGAAGTAACGACGATGGAAGAGGCACTGATAAGGAGACTAAATCCATACTTGAACACGAGGGGAAAAATAAAAAGTACACACAAGAAAGGTTGTCAGAGAAAAGGTAAGAAGAACAGAAGAAGGACCGTTAATCAAAATATTCCTGTACTATTCAAATCAACAAGGTCTACAATCACAATGCAACTGACAAAAGTGCTTCAAGCGAAAGCAATAATACAGTGTACAGCGGAAAAATTATGGTATGAAAAATGGAAGATAATTAAACGCACGTATGGATGTACCATAATCGAAATTGATGGCACACAATTCATGCTAAAAGAATGCAGACAGATGATGGAACAGGGATGCAAATTCTGTGTAATCAAGCTAGTCTATATAGGACCATCATCAAACAAACACAGGAATACATTGATTAATTGTCTGAGAGCTTCATGGACGAGAAAAAAATTATATAAACTGTCAATGGATGACATATTGATTCTTTTATCAAAAGTGGGGTCGATAACTGGAAAGAAACAAAGAGGCACAATCAAAGGTATATTCGCACAAATCACAAAGAAGAAATTCGCATTCAACATAAAGAGAAGGCTCATTTTTAAGATCTCGTACGCGGCACAAATCAACCTAAAGCAAGTGAAGAAAGCAACAGCAGGAGCAATTGTAAATAATGTTCTGAATGTTAATCTCGCAAATGATCTGGTATCCCGCATGAGGGTAATGTTCAAAAAATCAAGAACAGTTGGTGAAATATTACATAACCACAGACAGGACAGAGAAACCATACCCGATTGCGAATGCTCAAAGAGCCAACTTTCAAAAATTGAGGGACATGTTGCTTGCCGACTAAGTGATATTGAAAAGAACCAACTCCTATGGAATGCAAAGAATGTATCGCACATGAATGCAAGAATTGGAAGACAGGAAATACAAAAAAAAATCCTGCACGTAATGGCAATCATACGACAGTCTGAAACAGGCAGAGTACAAACACATCGACACATCGGAATGTATCAGCAAACAAGTGTATACTGAACACCACCTTGACATATCAGAAGTATGGAAAGTGAAAAAAAAATTGAAAGATTGGATACTATCGCCATTGGATAGAAACCCGGGAGAAACATTCATCGAATGCCCGCAAACGGTGTTTGAAAAAACGACGAATTTCTTCTTGAAATCGGTACATTATGAAATCATCCAAGAAATAGAAGGCGAAATTCTTCAGCAAGCAAAAGCTACGTACAGGCTTTCGGATTGGGAAAAATTGCGAAGTGGGATGACAAATGCACATACGGAAGTGCGTATACAATACCAAAGAACAAAGATGTAACCAGGAGGCGATCGATTGTACCAACCTATAACGAACCATCACGACAAGCATCGAAAATCCTATCGCGATCCATTTATTTCCTATGTAAGACTTGGCAGTTGGGGTTTGATTTGCAAGGCACAAACCAATTAGTTCCAAGACTGAAAAAATGCAACAGAACAACAACAAAATTGTATGAGTGCGATGCCACACTGATATGTTCCACATATGACGTTAAAGATATGTTTTCAAACTTAGATCATACACATATACGGAACGCCATGGAATGGATACAACAGACAGCTAAAGTGAAAAGAAAATCGCATCTATGCTACAAACAGAGAGGAAACTATATGAACTTCGAAAAAGCGAACAGCACGTACGGATGGAGAACTGTGAAAATTGAAGCTCTCTCTGATTTGCTATATTATGATATAAACCACGCGTTTTTCAAAGTACAGGGCGCATTATTGCGACAGATAGAAGGCCTGCCAATGGGAAAGGGTTCTAACCCACCTATTGCAAATATGGTATGTGCCTACGACGAGTACAAATGGTACTCCGAAATCGGAATGGACAGAAAACTCATTCACGGAATGAGATTTGTAGATGATGTAATGATGATAATAATAGCAAATCGAAACAATCTGGAGAGAGAAATTGCATGCATAAAATCATTCGAAAAGTGCTATCACACTTCACTGAAGCTGGAAACCACATCGGATACAAACAGCACAGAATGGAACTATCTGGAAACAAAAATTACGAAAAATGAACACGAACCCCTCCTGAAGTGTACGCATAAACTGAAGAATGAGGAGACACTCCGGGAGGGGTTGTTGAGCTCTCTCTCTCTAAGGTTTATTCGTCACTTTGGGAGTGTTGGTTCAGTCAACACAAAATTCCTAACGATTATAGGAACCCTACACAGGATGGTAGCGAACACATACGATGTCCGAGATTTACCCGCAGTTATGGAACTATATTGCACAGAGCTCAAACTGATGGAATACCCGTGGGAGGTACCTCGAGCGGCAATACTGGCCTACATCAAAAACTGTAAAGACAATGATATACGCAAGATATTCCTGGAATTCCTACAGACAGAAGAAGCACGGCAACACACAACACGGAGAAAGATCTGAACGGAGGCATGAAGAGATAATTCCGAAACCAAGAACAAAAACAAAAACAAAAACAAAACAAAAACAGCAACAAAAGAAGCACGAGATGTCAGCGGGGGAGAAATGCGGATATAACAAAAGATACCATACGAATGTAATGCAAATGACAATTGGAAATGACGTTGGATTCATTGTTTCATAAAACATAATATTCCAAAGGAAATAAAGAGTCCGGTACCACGAGAAATTAGGGAAGCAACCAAAAGAATGGGTAAAATATAACTCACCTACAAAAGAAGTAAAAAGAAATTTCCAAGATGTCCGAAAAATCCATGCAGGCAGACAACAAACGAAAATCAGTAAAATGAAGCTAAACATACACTCAAACCAAATTCATTCACGTAAAATTTCACAGAATATAATTGCAATGTACCACGACGAGGAGTGAAATCCCAAAGAAAAGATGAACCCGGACAACAAAGAAACTGAGTGTAGTGGAATACGGACGCATTTTGCGAACAGATACAAGGAGAAGTTATATTACAGCAGTGAGGCACGCGACGACATCAACTACAAAAGCCAAGACATACGACGGAGGTACGATGATGAAGAGAGTTCTGCTAGGGATAGAGGTCGAAGGACGGGAAGGACTCGGATCAGTAGGGTATAAATATTTACTTTGATGATTACCTGAGCAGTGAGGCAGAAGGGTAGTCGCGGCAACTAGATTGTCGCATACCATGGGCAAGACTTGTATATTGTGAAAGTAAAGCCTCGCACGTTTTGTCTAAATATTGCAAGTGTATATCTAACCACTGAGCTACATCAGCTATCGTTGTGCACACAGCTGTTGTTACTGTTGGTTGTTGTTAGGTTGTTCGCTGTGCACACTGTTGTCATCAGTACTTGTTTTTTTTTGTAGATAGTGAACGGAACATAGGAGGCAGGCAACCCAACCAATTTTGTAGAAAGCCCCACGAGCCCTACCAGCACCGGCCATAGAGTGTAAACTCCTTTTCCACCTTCTTTCCTCCCCCCCCCCCCCCCCCCCCCCCCCCCCCCCCCCCCCCCCCCCCCCCCCCCCCCTCCATTGAAGAAAACCAGAAAACCAGAAAAATGGACTACACCTCCAGTAGATTAAAAGTCGGGGTAACTACGCGGGAGTCACAAAAACAGTTTGAAATTTCGCTTTGGTCCAAAACGAGTTTCAAATTGCACTCGGGGCAGGAGTGCAATTTGAAACTCGTTTTGGCCCGAGGTGTAATTTCAAACTGTTTTTGTGACTCCCGCGTAGTTACCCCTTAAAAGTAGGGCCTTACGGACGGGCCTAGCTCAGTTGGTACACCCTTGAAGTGTTGAAATAGAGACCCAAGTTCAAATCCAGATGCAATCAGATGACCATAATAAAATCATTCCGAATGACGTGGGCCCGGTCAGTTCAATGATGATATCTCAATCTGATGGCGGTTCAATTTTGCGATAAGCACTGATTCAGGAAAAGAATTCAACCCTGTACTACAAGACCCCCCGTATTGGCTATACATCCTCCTTGCATTTATGCAGGATACGCTGTCAGCTCTATCGCTTTTTTTTGTTTATGTGTATCCGGAACTCAATTCAAAAAAAAAAAAAACACAGCGCGTGAAATCAATGAGTGGGAAGCTGAAAGATCACTGTGGAAAAGCAAGGCAGTAACCCGTGGCATAGGTTGGGCCTCCAATATGTTCATTATGCCCCTACCAGTACCGGTTCCAACTTTTTAGTATGCCCCTACCGGATAGGGAAGGGACCGGCGGTCCA